ATATATATATATATATATATATATATAGGGGTTGGTAAGATAAAAAAAAAATTATAATTCTCTTATGCTCACCAATGCTGCGAAATACAGTAAAAATAGTAATATTGTGAAATATTTTTTGAATTTAAAATAAATGTTTTCTATTATATTTTAAAATGTAATTTATTCCTGTGATGGCTGAATTTTCAGCATCATTACTCCAGTCTTCAGTGTCACATGATCCTTCAGAAATCATTCTAATATGCTGATTTGCTGCTCAAGAAACATTTTTTGTTATTAATGTTGAAAACAGTTGTGCTGCTTAATATTTTTTGTGGAAACCGTGATACTTTTTTTTTTTAGGTTTCTTTGACATAGAACGTTCAAAAGAACAGCATTTATTTGAAATATAAATTTTTGTAACATTTTAAATGTCTTAACTGCCACTTTTGATCAATTTAATGCATCCTTGTGGAATAAAAAATTACTAATTATTTCTTAAAAAAACAAAAAACAAAACTGACCCCAAACTCGAACAGTATGAACACATGGCACCACTTAGTGGTCAAGATTAGTAATTGCACAGAGATGTAAAACTCACTGTGGATGAGGAAGCACATGGATACTTACAATAAAGCAACCAACAACATCATTCTCATCAAAAGCCTCCCCAAAGTCCTCCGTCAAACCGTTGCTGGTTTTCTTGGCTTTAGATGAGAAGCCATATGAGTGCGCTTCCTCCCCTGTGAACATGTAATGCAAAGTAACACTCAAATGACATCATTAATTTATTAGATCAGCTCCTTTAAAAAAATCAAAGACCCTCACCTAGCAAAAGAGAGCTATTGGCCAGAGACCAACCCACCAGGACATCATGAATCTCAATTCCTTTACTGGAAATGTGTTTTACAGGAATCTTCTCAATAATCTGGTGCAAAGATATGCAAGAATAAGGTTGAGGTCATGACAGGGCAACTATAAATAGCAACCATACAAAAGCAATGCTCTCACCTTCATTTCAAAGCAAGCTTTTCCTTTTTCCACACCATAAGACGCTCGTCCGCCGGCCCACAGGTATGCAAAACTCTCCATGGTGAGAGAGGAGGCACTATACCGGTCCCGGGACACCTTGAAGTGCAGGTCACAGTTGTCTGAGGAAAATAAGAGACAGATGCTTTATTTCTAAAGCTACAGAGTGGCTGCACATCATGTTTCCAAAGTTTAGAGGAAGAACAAATATTCTACTCCAAACTTTTTAATGACTTTTAATAACCTCACTGAACATTTTACACTTTACAGAAATTGATTCTGCATGTTATGCTATGAGAAATTCAGCATTGACTATTTAGTCTATATTTTAGCAGTATTTGTATGAGATTTCATACGTACAAGTGTCCAAACATACAGTTGTGTCATCAAACTCTTCGTCCTCTTCCTCCAGTGGAGGCTGGGGAGACTTTGCCCTGAGGGAACCATCAAAAAACAACTATGAAATTTAATAAAAATTCAGTTCAGTGTCATTATAAGATAAGATCCCACTGAGTTCCCCTTGGATTTTAAATATGTCCCAACTGAGAAAATGTACAGGTGTGAAACATCGGTTAAACATTTAGCACATCAGTGCTGTTTATATAGTGCTGTGCAATAACTTATTTTGATTCTGCATGTTATGCTATGAGAAATTCAGCATTGACTATTTAGTCTATATTTTAGCAGTATTTGTATGAGATTTCATACGTACAAGTGTCCAAACATACAGTTGTGTCATCAAACTCTTCGTCCTCTTCCTCCAGTGGAGGCTGGGGAGACTTTGCCCTGAGGGAACCATCAAAAAACAACTATGAAATTTAATAAAAATTCAGTTCAGTGTCATTATAAGATAAGATCCCACTGAGTTCCCCTTGGATTTTAAATATGTCCCAACTGAGAAAATGTACAGGTGTGAAACATCGGTTAAACATTTAGCACATCAGTGCTGTTTGCTTTTTGCAATAATTCTACTTATTTTTATTAACTATTTTCTAATAAACTATTAAATAAAATCAGCAGTTACTATTTGTTTAAAAGTAGAAAATTATAGTGGTATATATTATATATTGGCGGTTATGTACAGTAGAAAATACAACACATCATCAATAATTAATTGAATACATATTTAAATTAAAATAAACATCATGAAAACATAAAAAAAATACATTAGATCACTTTAGTCATAGTTTCTAAAGAACATATCTGATACAGAATACAAAAATATGAATAGAAAAGGAAGTGTAATTTCTGGAACTGCATCAATACCCTTACAATATTCTCAGATAAACACTTTTCGTCCTTTAACAGCCCAAGCTTTGACCTACAAACAAGATTCCTATGGTAAAATACCACTGACAGAGAAATACCATGACAGAGATGCCCTTATTATAGGCGTAAACAAAGTGATTAAAAGCGCTCAGTAAAAATGTGTGTTTCTTTGCACGGATGAGGAACAGCATGTCAGATTTGGCTCTTTACTGCCCAAACTGGTCGTAAATCTTTAAGGTGCAGCGGAACCTCAGGAGTACCAGAGGCCGACTGCACATTTCTTACCGGCTGTATTTGCTTTCTTCAATAAATTCAAAGTAGCCCCTTCCATGTTCATCTCGGCGTCTCTTTACACCCTTCTTATTCTTCTGTTCATCATTCTTGTCTTTGTCCGCATCCCCTTTGGAAATAAAACAATAAAACATGAGGAGGCGTACCTCCCTGCTGGACCCATCATGATGTAACATGACAGTCCACATAATTACTGGAGGATTTCTAGTTATTTCGGTTGTGCATAAACTGCAATGACCAGTATTTTAAAAGAAAGGTGTATTTAATTATAAGTTCACATGTTTTAGATAAAGGAGCAATGCCTTACAGTGTGGTTTGTACACTGCAGCACTTATATGGGAACAAACAGAAGGTGGTTGCCAAGATATCAGCAAACTGTGCTATTTTGAGCTAAGTAACACACATTTTCAGATTCACATTGCATGCATCTTGAAGAAAGGTGTTACAGTGTGTGTAATAATGAAGGCACATTTGGTGATGGGCAAAGCTCACAAGCACCTCATTCCCTATGTATGCAACTTGTGCTTGACAGAACAAAAATTATTAGAAAATGAAAAACTGGAATATGCAAACTGCCATACATCACTCACAAATCCATCATTTCTGAAGCAATTTTCGAGGTAAATATGGATAATAACTAGTCTTTTATAGGAATTCAGTATAATTGTCATTTAATGACAACATTGATTTAATGGTGGCACAGCTTTATGGTTACAGATCCAGGCTGGTAGTTCAAAAGATACTAAGTTCAAACCCCTAAACCAGGGGTCACCAAACTCGGTCCTGGAGGGCCGGTGTCCTGCAGAGTTTAGTTCCAACCCTAATCAAACACACCTGAACCAGCTAATCAAGGTCTAATCAAGGTCAACTAGGCATACTTGAAACCTCCAGGCAGGTGTGTTGAGGCAAGTTAGAGCTAAACTCTGCAGGACACCGGCCCTCCAGGACCGAGTTTGGTGACCGCTGCACTAAACCAACATTACCCCAAGGGGTGAAAGCATCTGCTAAAGGACGACAAAGAATAACAATGAGGTCCTCACTACTCCAAAACAAATGAACTGAGATCATTACGCACAGACTCCATCTGGAGCTTTTGTCCTTCGTATCTCCACTTCAGCATCCCGTTACAGCTCAGCGATCCTGAGAACCTACTGCTCAACCAATAAACACCAACATACACTATTAAGGGTCATTCTCAGGAAACGGTCCTATTCGTGCCTGAATATGTCAGGATTTAACATTTTTACATCATTTGATTTGAATCAGTATCTGATGAAATGAAAAGAAAATGTTTTATGCAAATCATGACAGAACAAGACTAGTATGTTCTGAATGAGATTTTCTTGTTTAATTTGATATACTGTATAACAAGCTTTTGTATCTACATGCGTTAAAAAAATAGTAGTAATAATATAGCTGACCATATAGAAGTAGATTTAGTCTTTTAATTTAAACTAACTTACATATGTACTGTATATGTACATATATATTATGCCAATAAATATGTAAATATTATATCAAAGTTTGAGACATAGTGCAAATAAATTATTAGTGATGAATAAAAATAAAATAGAAACATTACATAAATAAAAAATAGGGATAAATAAAAATAAATAAATTAAACATTTATTTATTTATGAATGAATTAATGAATGAATGAAACACTTTATAAAGTTAAGTCTATTAAATTAAAGTTAAAGGGACAAAAGTAGGACACCAGAGGCACCATCTCCTGGGAATGACATAAAATCCTGTAGATGTAGCAGATTCTCTTGTTTAATTTTGATATATAACATCTACACAAGCTTGTCATCTTTTATTCATATGCCTAAAAACTAGAAATAGTATAGCTGATCATAAATATAGAAGTAGTAGATTTTAATTTGTAGCCAATAAATATGGAATTATATCAAAGTTTGAGATACAAATAAATAAATAAAAAATACACTTTTTAAGATAAAAATGAACAAATAAATTAAATACATTGAAATAAATAAAAAATATTATTTTTTGTCTTTATATTTATTTCTTTGTTTTTGTCTTTTGCATCAATTAAATCTATTAAATTATATGACTGTGATGTGAATACGTTTAGTATTCTGTTAATTGCATCAGTAGTAAGTCAAGGGAACACAAATGGGACACCAATGGCACCAGCTCCTGAGAATGCTTCAAATCCTGTGCTCTCTGCTGTCAGAATGAATTATTCTGACAGAACCAATATACAAAATATGAATTGCACAAGCTTCAACACGTAATCTCACCCTCGCCAGGGCCCACGTCATCCTCACCAAATTTCTCCATCTCTTCATCATCTTCTTTGAGCAGGACATCTTCATCTTCATCTGATTTATCCATCTCTACCCCGGCGTCCTCCTCCTCCTCCTCCTCCATGTCATCATCCTGCTGCTCCTCAGCCTCCGCATTATCGCCATCCTCCTCCATGTTCTCTCCAACCAGATCTTCCTCAAGGTCTTCATCGCCCATGTCACCGAGGCCGTCTCCATCCTCGTACTGTCCTTCAGAACCGTTGGTGGACAGCGCCTCCTGATCCAGAGCGGCCTGCAGCCGGGCCATCAGCTCAGCCTTCAGCCCTTTATCGCACAGACTCCTCTTCTTCAGCTCGTCCTTCAGCTCGTTTACTTTCAGCTTCTTCACATTCATTGAGCTCATCTTGCCGTTTCGATCCTTTACTTTAGATGTTATACCACAAATGTATGAAATATGAACAGGAAGAGCAGGTTATGAGACGCTCGATGCGGTCGCTGACGGGCAGCAGTCGGAGCAGGACGGGGCCAGTTGAGCCTTATATCATCTACCGTAAAACACATAATACATGAGCAAACTACCGTAAATATCACTATAGCTATTAAATATGCATAAGAGAAAATATCAGTATTCAGTTTCCGTCACTTTTCATATGTTCAGACAATTATAATAACAAATCTGAATACAGTACTGATAAAGCAAATAGTAAATATACCATGTAAATATAATGAAAATATTATGAAAAAATAATAGCCTAATATATTATATAATAATAATATATATGAAAAAATTAAATATTGCTTATTTAATATTGTAGTATCATTTTTTTCAATGCCCCAAACGCACAAAAAAAGATTTTTTTACAGAGTATACATAGGCCTATCAGCATTGCCAGAGTGGGCCTACATCATTTTGCATAAATTGTAATTATTATGACTTTTTCTTAAAGGCTAGCTTAAATATGTATATACATTTTAGAGAAATTTGGTTTGCAAAACACTTACAAAATAAATGCAGTCTATTTTCATATGCACAGAAAATGCAGTAAATAAGTAAATACAGTAGCTAGCCTACAGATAAGGCAAATACTAGGCTAAATAAATCACTTATATAAAGTGTTTATTATAATATTAAAGATTGCTATTGTAGTATCATTTTATTATTTAATGACACAAGAGCACATAAAAGCATATGTATATATATATTAACATGTAGTATTAACAATATTACAATAAAAACAATGTTTTTTTTCTCTAAAAGGCTATATGCTATTTATATAAAACATTTTATGTTATAAAAGCATAAGATTAAATATCACTAATTTAATATTGTAGTATCATTATTTTATTGAATGCCACAAGAGCACATAAAAATAGTATATTAACATATCAACATTGCCAGAGAACTTCTTAAAGACTAACCTAGGCCTATATATGATACATTTGAGAGAAATTTGGTTTTCAAAACAATTACAGTCAGTTTTCATGTGCACATAGAATGCAGTTAATAAATAAATAAATGAATACGGTACAGGTGGCAAATAATAAACAAATCTTATTATTATTATTATTATTGTTTAGTAATACCTATTAAATATTGCTAATTTAATATTGTAGTGTCGTTTTGTTATTCAATGCCACAAGAGCGCATTTCGGTTTTTTTTTCTTCTTCTTCTTTTTTCTTAAAGGCTATATATAATAGCTACATTTTTGTAATATTTTTTTTTTTTTCAAAACGCCAACGTGAGTAACGACGTCACGAACAAATAATCACAAGACCAGTCAGTGACTCAGGGTTCAGGTTACCTAGCAACCAGTGTTTTGGACATGGCGGACAAGTCCAACGCAGGTAATGTTGTTACTTTAAACTTTCTTTCCTTTCAAGCTTACGATATACATTGTAGCATTTGTACTCTTACGTGTTGTTTGTAGCTCAGTTGTCATTATTACAATTGTTATCCACAAAATGCTTTGTTTAAAGTATCGAATAAATAGCAAGCTAACGTTGAGTAGCAAAGTAAAAGAGACAGACAGCACAAGACTGTCAGTTGCACGGAAAATAAAATAAAATTAAAGTATAGTAAATTAAATACATAGGATACAGCATTAACTGAGACGTCTAAAACCGCTTTGTTTTGTAAAATTTGCTGAAATACATAATTTCCTTTTTTCAGAATCTATTATAACAGAAACTCAAAAGAGGATAAGTAACGCATTTGACGTGTTTGATCACGAATCCAACAAGACTGTTGATGTCAGGTAACATTTCAGAGTTTTCAAATTTCACTCTCCTTGCTTTCTTTCAGACTTTAGTAGTTTATTATCTTCAGATTTGCTCTCCGACACCTGTTTATTTTCTACATATGAGGGTGTCTTATAAGTTTAACACTGCTATTTTTCATTGTAAAAGAGAAATAGGCACCATTATCCGTTCACTTGGCTGTTTTCCATCGGAAGCGGAATTACATGATATCATTGCTGAGGTCTGTGGTTTGTTTTTTACATTTGGCTCATTTAGATATTGACTCTTGCAGGCTGAGTAGATAAGAAATTATGATGTGTGACGTTTCTACAGCTTGAAGATGAAGAGCCCACTGGGTTTGTGCGCTATGAGAAGTTTCTTCCAACTATGACTAAAATCCTGCTGGAGCGCAAGTAAGACTGAGAGTGAAGTGGTTCGGGTCAATTGGACAAATTACATTAATCTTGAGCTTTCTGCAAAATTACAAATAATCAGATATCCCTGCCAAAACAGATAGTTTTTAAGCTAACTGAGACTTGTTATAGCACTTGTATATCATTGCTCTTTTGTTGATTTTGATTGCTTCCATTGTCCTCATTTGTAAGTCGCTTTGGATAAAAGCATCTGCTAAATGACTAAATGTAAATGTAAATGTAAGTGTCTTTCTATCTCTAAATGGTGTTGTCTAATATGGCCATTTTGTTATTTAAAATATAAATGATTTCAAAATTGTCATCCAAGAGATTTCTGAGTTATACTTATGCAAATTTTTTTTTTAACTTTCACAGATAGTGTTGTTATTGTTCACTAAAACTACTAAAAATAGTTTTGGTAATTGAAATAAAGCTGAAACTAAAATAAGTATTAGAAGAAGAAAAAAAGTGAACTTAAAAAAAAAACTTCAATGAGAAAAGTTGCCTTGTCAACTAAATAAAATAAATAATATATATATATATATATATATATATACTGTATATATATTATAACATTAATAAAAATGTGCAAATGCACATTAAAAATACTAAAACAAAATAAATTAAAAACAAAAACATAAAAAATAAAAGTTAATTCAAAATATTAGAAATAATTTATATAAAAATAATTCTAAAATAACACTGGCCACCTTGTCAGTGTGAATGCACATCTAAAAATCAATTTACAACTATTATTTCCAATTGTACACCTGAAAACATGCAAGGGACAAGATCAGATATGCCCAAAAATATGCTAAAAAAAATTCAATGAAGTGTTTTAAGCTGTGAAACATAGATGAACCACTTTACAAATTTTTGATTGAAAAGTCCAATATTGGTGACAATTTTAGCTCTGATTCCTTTTTATTGCAGGTTTCGTCCTATTACAGAAGACCTGCTCCTTCAGGCCTTTGAGGTGCCTAATGCTCTGACACTTAAACATTTTTAAAAATTCTTCTTTTGTTGTTTGAATTTACCTTGGATACACTACAGAGAAAAGAAAAACATTCAAAAACCTTAAACTGGATATAAAAATGAAGACCTCAATGGAATGAATTAATGTAATGGTGCTGTTATCTCTTTTTAAAGGTGTTAGATCAACAGAAAAAAGGCCACTTGGAGCCAGAGGAACTCACCAAGTATTTAACACAAGAAGGTATGTCAATTATGACTATTGAAAATAGTAGTTTGTATTTTAGAATAGGCTTCTGACATTTTGAAATCGATGTGCAATGCTCATTTGTCACACACTTTAACAATACAAGGAATCCACAAAGACGTCAAGTTCAGTAATTCTGAAGTTTTTAATTTCTCTGTCTTCTGAAGGAGAGCCCTTCACACAGGAAGAGATAGATGAAATGCTGTCTGCAGCTGTTGATCCTGATAAAAATGTCATTCTCTACAAGGACTTTGTGAGCATGATGACCTTTGATGACACTCGATGATGGCTGATGGCATGAATAGATCAAATGAATAAGTAGTTTTATAAGTTAGGATCAAGGTATCATAAACAAAATCATCTCAGTTACCATAATAAATAATATACTGCACATGTTATTTTGACTCTTTACCCATGGTATACATCATTAATGGTGTTCATAATGCCCAAATACTCTTTCCTTATTGTATAGTTTGGCAAAATTACACAATATGATATTTTACTCTATTCATAATTATTCAAATAGGCTTTAAAGTGGAGAATGTGTGCAAGACTGAGAGGGTGTATCATGGACTGATGAATCATTCTCCCTATTAATGAGGCAGGTTTCTACGGCCAGTTGTGTGTCTGAGAGCTTCATTATAAAGTCAGTGTGTGGTGTCTTTCTTCTTTCAGTTTCATTAGCAGACTCTGATACCACAGGTTTTATGAAGGGGTGGCATATTCTTGCAGCTCATTTTTTTCTAATTAACCTGTGTCCCATGAGTTGCCCCCTGTGAACTGACCAGAGAAGCAGTTCTCTGATGAAGAAAAAAATGAACTGATCACTGATACAATGTCATTTTATTACAATTGAACATTATAGTTCGAAAAATATTTCTGAGTGTACTTTATCAATATACCTTACACAACAATGAAATGCATTACTCTCAGAGAATAGTGTGAAACTAAATATGTTTTTCCTGTAATTTGAGAAACCCCAAATAGTGCATGAGGTATTGTGTACAATATTGTAAAAACTGGAAAAGGCTACAATAACCATCTCAGACTTTCCTGTTTGTATATGCTTTTTTATGTATCATAAAGTAAAGGTGAAGATTCAGTGGTTCAAGGATAGATTAACAAATAATCTGGGCAATGCTAAGCTTTTAGGTTTATGACAGTTTCCTCTTTGTTTATGCTAAGGTTATATAGGTCTGTGTATCTTTATCTTAAGAATGTATGATAAAGCAGTACTGTTTCATTTTACTAAAAACTGATGGTCGTTTGCTAATTTCTTACTGTTAGTCTCTTACAAAGCTGTGGGTTATAGTTAGGAGTGTTTAATTTAGATGTGTGAGCAGTAGGTGGCGCTACTTTCCCATGCTTACAAAATGTCCCTTCAAATTCATACTAACAATACAACCAAAACAATACTGCCCATTTGTTTTCATGCCCATTCAACAGCGTTTGGTCAATTAAGAAATACTGCCAAATATTGCAAAATTATATTGCAAATGTTTGTTGTTGGTTTCATAATAAGTGTATATACTTGGTTCAAATGACATGTTTGCAGGCAGTGTAAGCAGTTGAAGATTTTTGAGCATTTGACCTGGAACACTAATATTTTAATATCATGATATTATTTAAAAAAATAATATTATACCGTTTTAAATAGATTTGCTTTTTTTGTATTGCTAATATTATGCTCCAAATTGTATTGCATTTTTGATTGATTCGCGTTCGTTTATTCTTAAATGGTGTAAAAAAAAATGTGTGTGTGTGTATTTTTACATTTATGTAGTTTATACACGTTTTTGAGTAACCACATAAGTTAGATTAGGCTAATGTTGTCATTATTATTTATTATAAATCTGCACATATAAATAAAAATACGTAGATAAATAGTTGATATTTAGTTCAATACCATTTTTGTTGCGCGAGACGAACTTATAACAGAACAACACTGATAGAATTTCCGAAAGTCAAAATTGACTTTTAATAAAGAAACTAGTAGTTTAGTTTAGCCTGTGGACAACAGTACACTCCCACATGTCAATCAGTAGATCTCGGACATGCTATTCGCTGAGAGGCGCGGATGGGGCGTGGCCAGTCTCCCCAGAGACAGATGTGTGCGCTCCTCTGGAGTGAGAGCAGCGCAGAGATCAGTCCTCCAACAGCCTGATCTACTGTCAGACTGCGCTTCACACAAGTCCATATGCATGGGAAAATGCGCCTGTGCTGGGATGCTGTGAAATCTAAAGCACTGCACATGGATTCAGCATATCAGAGAGCATAAGAAAGAACTGGATTATCCACTATTGGACATTTCAGATTGGACCATCTGTTATTCATATTCCACTGTGGAAGATGGATAGATTTCTGCATGGTACTAGTCGCTGAGACTGGACTTCAGTAGGGCTACTGAACTGGCCAGAGATTGATTTTTGGATCTTTTAGTTGTGGATGTAACAGGAGCACAGTTATTTCATCAGTCCCTGTCTATCAGGCTTTATCATGACCTCTCTAACAGGGAATAAAGAAAGATCTGGGACCAGGAGTAGAAAATATGGGGTAAGATTTATTATGTTTGTTATAGCTATTTTATGTAAAGTTATGTGCATATTCAGGGAAATAAATTATAAAGCGTCTGCTAAATGACTAAATAAATAAATAAATAAATAAAAATATTCTAGTGAAGAAAATCAACAATCTATTTCAATGTCAAACTCAATATGCAAAACAATAAACCACTTTGCACACTTTTTTTTTTTACATGTACCATATCTGTAACCCAGACATTAATGTTTCAATCACTATTTTTCCATCCTCAACTATCATTTCTTTAAGATGACCGATTCATCCCCTACGAAGTCAGCATCATTCTCTCCTGAAACCTGGTACCGAAAGGCTTATGAGGAGTCTCGGAGCGCCAGTCGCCCGGTCCCTGAAGGTGCGGGCTCCATGCCCGGGTCCTCTGGAACCCCGTCCCCCGGATCAGGAATATCATCCCCGGGCTCTTTCTCCGGCTCACCCGTTACTATATCGCCTGGAATCAGCACCGGTTCGCCCGGTTCTTTAGGCGGATCTCCAGGGTTCGGCACTGGTTCTCCAGCCTCGGGTAGCGGGAGCTCACCTGGTTCTGATCGGGGCATCTGGTGCGAGAACTGCAACGCACGGTTGGTGGAGCTGAAGAGACAGGCATTAAAACTACTCATTCCCGGACCCTTCTCTAGCAAGGTAGGCTGATGTCACATGCATATTCCGTAATCAGTTTTTGACATGGAAATGCGTCATGCAGATACAAATGACATCGGATATCCATGCTGAAGTGTGATACATGATCTCCAGTGTTGCAGTGCGTATTTTGGACATAAATCTTGGAGTAACCAAGAAATGTACAACGTGAAGATTTCAAACTAGAATTAAATTTGATTTTGTCGTGCACTGCTATTTACCGACTAATTCCCTTTTTTTATCATAGTTTGGCTGTTCTCACTAGCAAAACAAATCGCAGCTTACAAAATAAACAATAAAATAAATAAAGAGAAAGAAAAAATAGCAGTTTTGCATTAAACTGTGTTTGAAAACACACAGAAGTGTTGCACATAAGGGGCGAAGTGCTGAACATACACGGCACTGCGGCGTGTTGCTGATCCACTATCGCTGCTATTCCAGTGCGCTTCCAGGAGACTGAGATCATGATGAAACTGGCCAAAGGCGGCGAAATTAATTGCTGACTAACAGCTTTTTCCTTTGATTTAAGAAGACTGTAAAGTGAAACAGACTGTGTAAAGAAACACTTCATACCATGATGTGGCTTTGGTGGCGAGCGTGAGTGCTGAGAGAAGCGCATTTATGATTAACTACCCCTTTTGATTAGTTATTCGGTTTTGGCTTAGGTAGTACTGCACCAGAACTTGGTGTGGATTCCACAAGAGCTCAAATCATAAGCACAAAGTATATATATATAGGTAAATATGCAGTGCGTAATTGGATGCATGTGTGCGTAAATATCAAGTTTCGCCGTGTGCTCATTTCATTTTCAGCGTCTAATACCGGGAGCTATGTATAAGCACACCATCAGTATGATTTACACCTAGACAGAAATGGTTTACAGACAAACCCTATCTTTTTAAATTATTGATCAGTGTTTTTTTTTTTGCGCCCCATGGAAACCAATGCACAGTTTGCCTAATTCAATAATTATCGATTAAGAAGAACAGGGGGCGCTGTGCTGTCACAAACAAACTTCTCTGCTTGCGTTAAGATGTTAAGAACTATGACGTGATCACAGTTGCAATACAAACATATGGCATCTATTATGTTCTTCATTTCAATAATTGCACCGTTTATCCTTAAAAAAAATAAAATAAATCATAATAAAAAAATCTGGCCCTCACTAGTCCAAAACATTGCATCTGCATTTAGATCTCCTTATCATGGGCAGTGTCTAAGATGATGTCATAAACCTGTGTGTGTGTGTGTGTGTGTGTATAATATAACTATTATTACTAAAAGTAGCATTTTGCTGTTTTTTAAGAGCACCATTGATCTGGTGTGCCCGTGGCTCGTGTTTCAGACCTTTTGTTGGTCTCCAGATTTTATGGCCAGTTCTGCCAGCTGCAAGTGACCTGCAGGTGCCCATTAAAATGAGCTGGAGGTGGAGGGGCTGATGGGAAGGAAAGGGGATCACTGGAGAGCAGGGTGGCCATGAGAGCGCTCTTAAAGCCAGAGGCAATTTTAAAGGAGATGTAACTGAGTGTTTGGGCTTTTCTCTGCAGGAGAACATGGTGATTCGTCCACATGGTGATTAGTGAGCAGTGTTGTGGCATGAACCGAAGGGAAAAGTCTCATTCTGGTATACGATCCATCTGGAGATCTTGCAGTATGCTGCGTTCCATTGCACTCTGGAAGTAAAATTTTCTAATTTCCTCCTAAAAAAAGTGCAATAGAATAGAGGGAAGTGATGAACATTGACTTATAAAACTCAAATAAATTCAAAGTTCCTACATTGTTTGATGGCAAAAACTTAAATGTTTAGCAACATCTGCAGAGTCAAGTGTTTAAAACATAGTAAATGATGCTCCTCTGATGATCTTTTACATGCAGAATAAATGCTATTACTCTTTAAAATAAAGGTTCTTTATTGGCATCTTTGGTTCCAGAAGAACCTTTAACATCCACGGAACCTTTCCACTTCATAAAAAACACAGTGATGCCATAGAAGAACCATTTTGGTTTCCCCAAAGAACCTTGAATCATAGATGCCAATAAAGAACCATTATTTTTATGAATGAAGGTTTGTTATTATGGAAAATGATCCTTCAGATTATTAAAATATTCTTTCCATTAAAAAAATGTTTTTTTTTAAGAACTGTTCACTGAATGGTTCTTTTGGAACCCAAAATGGTTCTTCTATTGACATTTGAACACCAACAAAGCTTACACGTCATCTTCCAAGTAGTTCCTGAAGTAGGAATATAACTGTGAATGGAACGCAGAATACTGGAACAGTAGTAGTCTACAGCTCACAGAACTTGTGCTGTGGGACTTGCTGTGTTGTCAACGTCCCCTGAGGTTTCGTCTTTAGATTACACCCACTAAACAGAAGCATGTTCATTTCAATCCCATGCACACACAGCTCCCATTTCCAACAGAGCATTGTTGCCACGGCAGCAACACGTTATGGGCGTGAGCTTCATACATATTACACGTTTAATGCTCTTATTATGCCTCTCAGGTGAGCAAGGCATTATCATATAAAGAGGTCGCTTTTTTAGTACGGACTAGTAGGAATAAACGGGAAGGGGTTGCTGACGTCTGCTCAATCCAGCAGGCGTTCTACTGTAAATGACACTCCCTCCTGTCCAGCGGCAGGCTTTGTCTTGACGCCGGGGTGTAATGGTGTCACTAGGGCAGAAATGAATACAGCTCAGCAATGGGAGAACTGAATATGCATGTCTCTGTAGGATTTGGTGTGCTCATTTGGGACAGATTACTTCTTGTTGGAAATGACTGTGAATAATATATGGTGGCTTTATAGACTGTGACCTGATAGCTTCTTACAACAATGGAGGATTGTTGACAACTATTGTAAGTCAAAGCTGTTTATAGGTTGAAACTTAGATTCACAACAACATGGTCCAGTGCTTTATGAACTGTTAATTTCTGTTTTTTACAACTGAAGGTCTCACAGCAGGTAATGGTTAGTCTTAAAAACCTGCTCTTTTCATAGGTATGAAATGTTGAAAGATTTATTTTCAAGGTGTGCTTGCTGTATTTTAGCTCAAAGCTTTTGTAGGGCTTTGAATTCAGTGGGTTTTGCTTCTTTTGAACAAGTATCCCAGCAGGCCACCAAAGTTATAAGATGTTGATATTTGGTTAAATATAGGTTCTGATTGTGTGTGCCCAAAATTCAGTGCCAGGACAATGTATAATGTAGACGTTTATTTGACATGGATATTTTGTTGGTTTTCAGTCGTGGCAGTAGCCAAAATTCAGTAACCAAAATCATATTGACATCAAACATTGACATTTAGTAACAAGGTATGGTAATCAAAACCCAATGTCTACCAAAATAAATTAGCATCCACACAATGTCAAATTATAAAATCATTAGATGTTGATATTTCGTTAGTTTTAATCATTGTATCAAGTAACCAAAATTCAACGTCAGTCTAAAGCTGGAGCTTGATCTAAAGACAAAGACATCAACTCAATGAATTTCCGACCAAAAATTAACTGCCAAACATTGGAGCTTGATGTCAAGCAAACGTAGGGTTTTGACGTCAACCTGATTTCATTTTCAACCAAAATTTGACGTTGGAATATGACATCTGCCCAACATTGGTGGTTAACGTCTTTCTGGTCGTTACATTGACATCCAGTGCCAGCTCACTTAGACTATAAATACTTTAAGACATTTATTCACATACAATGAGGGTAATGAGAAATGTTTGAGTTTACATTTTGATTGCAGGCTTGGTGTCTTGGTAAATTTCAGCACAGTTTGGGGAATATTATTGTGATTTTGTTGTGTGTGTGTGTGTGTGTGTGTGTGTGTAATACAACACTTTCTCAGATAATAATTATATCAGTATGATGTCGAACAGCATCCATGACCCATAAACACTAGTTTCACAGTGCCAAATGCAGCAGATGTCTAAACCCACTGTAGATTTTGCGGAGTGGGTGGTTTGTTTTTTAGTGGAACTCAAAACTGTATTTCAAGAGTCCAGTCAGGTTGCTGCTGTACCCCGTAATCACTGGCAGCACTTCCTCCAAAGCATGAAGGCCTGTAATCCACCCCAGAACCAAGTCAGAGAAAACATCAGGTTCTTCCGCTTGAACATGGGTGAGCGATCTCACAGGGATTAGCTGGACAGAGCCAGATTGAAGTTCTCCATGATCAAAGCAGAACTACCTTGAAGGAGGATACCGCCTGGTTCGGTAGAGCCGTGATTTTTAGGCAGCGATCAGCATAGCTGGTTTACATTAGTCACTCGAGGCTTTGTCATTGTGTGAAAATAGAATGAAAGATTTTGACAGACTTGTGTAATGCATCTCTGGAGACTGGATGGTTTGATGTGTTGAATGTTTATGTTTCAGCCTACAGCTGGAGTTCTGAGTATGGGTTTTGTGCTCTCAAGGAAAGCATTGCAACTATGCACACAGTTTTCTTAACCGCTACCCAGTAAAACTCACTAGATACATGTGAAGAATTTGCAATGGAAGTGTTGCAAATTGCATATTGTTTTTTCATTGTGAATGCATTTTATTTGTTTGTTTAGTGGCCTTTTAAACATTGAATTGCCACTTTATTTTTCAAAGCTTTTTAGATGCAGTTATTTACTATGACATTTTTGACTAAATGCCATGTCATGTCCTTTGTGCTCAGCTGATTTAAAAAGGATGATGGAAACTCAGTCAATAAGAGAGTGGAAAGGAAAAATTGAAATCGCATCATATGACCCCTTTAAAGAATTTCTAGGACATGTAAGGCAGGGTTCGTGAACTCCTGGAGGTTAATTAGGGAACTGCAGGGTGTTTGTGAGCTGTTGAAAAGCTAATAATTAATTAAATCATAAAAATGCAAAATTAAAAACAAACAAACCTTAATTTTTTACAGACATTTGTTAACTGTAAAACAAAACACAATGAAGATACAATCAATACCTATTTTTGCAGAATGTAAGTGATCATGTAAATAAACCCCCACATGGTGATCGACACTCTAC